ATCGGAATGGGGGCGAGATGGACCAAGTGGTTAGAGCGCGAATTTACTGACTGGAGGGTCCGTGGTTCGAAATCGACCTCTGCCTCTCGACTTCCCCTGTCTAGGCTTGGGCGACCTGACAGTATCCCAGCCCTCGTGCCTCATTCGTGTGGCATGGCAGCTAGGCACCGAAAGGGTGCTACAGCTGAACGAATGAGAATGATCCTCAAAAGTTGTGCCATCAAATCGGTTTGAAACAGATGTATTAGGACGGAAGGGGTCCAGTGCCTCGATAGCACCATAAAACAGCATAAGGCCGAATTGCGGGTTCCTGTGTGGCTAAAAATACCAATTCCGGTCTCGGTGTTGTAGTTTCTAAGCTATCTGCCGTTTAAACATAATACACTACTCATTGGGTTGCTGAAAACTCTTGGACAGTCCACAACCGGTTTCTCCCTTCTGTGGACTCATCAGATAGAAACAGTCCCGGAATTTCCGTCAATCTTATGTTCTACTTGAATCCGAATTGCACGAACTTAGCGAAATACATTCATTTGCAAACCAATTTGGTTTGTAGGTGACTCGCCCGGAATCCAGCTGAATTTCTCGTGCCAACTGAAAAATGAGGCGACCTGGTGCACCAGTTGCTTGAAAACATCATAAACGAGCGATTCAGCTGGGTACCAGGTAAGTCTCCCACAAAACAAAATTGGCTTGCAAATGAGTGTATTTCGTTTATCTGCTGTTTACTTTACAAATCAACAAGGCAGCCATAGAGGACGACGTGCATGACGGATAGCGAAGATGAGACGGGGCATCGCAAAGGCGAAGAAGCGCTCATATATTGTTCCTCTCTGAATAGGATCCAATTGGATGGTTCTATGAGGCTAGTAGCGAAGAGACAGCAGCCAATGACTAGCAGATCAGTTGTCGGCCGTACGCTATTCGGTTGTCAGTTCACTTTACACCAGGACGCCCAGGGTGCACACAGTTGAACAACAGATAGAACCTCTGACATTAAAGCGTATGAACCAAAATTCTTAGGAATATACATATCGCTGCGATAGCGATGACCCATTCAACGAACCATGACTTTCTTGAGCACAGAAACCGACATCATAGGGATGAAAAATCAATAACCAATGTGGCCGCGGGAAGCCTGAGGTACTACAAGACTGACTGAACACGTATGGGCTACTTTGGTGCAGCCACCCACGAGTGTGCGATGCTTGCTATCACACTACGAAGCAGCACCAGAGGGCTTTATTACCAGCCGATAATTGGCTAATATCAAAAGTATGGGAAAACGAAAAGGGGTTGGGGGCCCTCACGGTGCACTAGGCAGTAATCCACGTTCGGGCCGCCCTAGCCAGCTTGCCTCAGAAGGAACAGCTTCATGATCGGGACACCCAAAGATTATTCATATCGCACTGGACATTTTGTCGCACACAATACACCGAACCTACCAGGAGACGTTACGTTTACTACATGAACAATCTACAATCAGTAGCACAGTTTTTTACCTTTTGGTTTACATGGTAAAATAATCCATCAGTGATTGTGTCCGATAGTGATATAAATGCGACTTGAGAACAGCTGTACCGAGGTTTATAGTGTTTACACTGATGATTTATAAACACAACTGAAAGTTCTCAATGAACTGGAGAGAGTTTGGAATCGATTGAGAAGTCATCGTTTCAGAAGAACTGGCAAAAACTACCAACTGTTTACCAAGCCCTTCTGAAACGACAACTGGAAGTTGGTGAAATAATAACAGCATCCAGTAGAGCTCACCATAGACAGGTTCTGATGAAAGGTTTTTTGGAGGAGTTCGGTAAATAGTGATGACCTTTTTTGGCTGTACAGGAGGCTGGAAAAGAACAACAAAGAGTAACATTCATAGGAATTAATATTATGCATAAAGCAAGCAAAATAACACGGTCGAGGGACGTGCTACGATATCAAAACTGCGAGATCAAGGCAATAGGGGGGGGGGGGGAAACCAATTATGCTGAACGCAACAACGCCACCTAGTAACTGCATCACTGCAACTAGAACAGGTCTGCTTCGGTTCCTCCTGCAGATCCACTCTAATAGGGAATCACGAAGCACTTTGCGATAAAATTATACAAAGAATTCGAAATCTAATCAGGCTTCAAAGTAGATAGCGAGGCCAAATATGCTGCACTGAAAGCGTATTTTCTGAAGAGGTAAACGGAAATGGGCGGGGAAAGAACTGTGTGAGCTTTGTCAGTAAAATCAGGCAAGTGTTTCTTCCCCCGAAGCCATCATACACCTTTGCCGTAAGTTAGGTTGGGATGTGTTACGGCGTATGCACCTAATTCTCTTCAGGGTTAAGATAAGCGATTAATTGCGTAGATTTGGTGTCATCCCCCCTCGGGGATTCGGATTTCACGAAGTTGATGAGCACTGATCATAACCCGAGAGAGAACGCATCTGGGGGAGAATCTGCGGTACTGGTTAACTCAAGACGTTTGTTGTCAGTCATCACCCAGTTTGCCATCTACAGAGAAACCGGAGAATATTTTACAGACAGTTGATGTTTGCATTCTAATGCCTGTATTCATGGCAAGCTTGCGTTTCACCCCTAAGCTTCGTCAGTTTGCTAGCATCCCGACCTTAATGTTTCCTATTGATGGTGTGGCAACTATACCTTAAAATGAGGATGGCCTCTATAGAGAAGTTCCTAAAAAATTGTCTGAACACTGGACACGAAACCAACATTTCCAGCGAATTCAGTGAATAATGAATGACCTAAAGTAGAGCTTCTTACGCGAACTTGGGGCCTAGAATTACGTGATATTCGTTTGATTGCTATCCGACTGGTTGGATAGGGATAAGCTTGGCACAGTGGATTTGTCGCTGTAAATCACAACAAATGAGAACGGATACTGCGGTTTTATTGCTCCAATGGAACAACTTCCTTACGACTAATGCATCCATCCACTGGAACCCTAGCAACATTGTTGATCGGGGGAAAGAGATCACCGTTTTCTCAGCAAAATCATCCGTGTTTACTGTGACCATGTAAAGCATTTATCACTACAAGAATACTTTCCCAAAAAAATTGAACGGCGCACTGGAGATAAACAGATTTGAACAAACCTGATATGCCCAGAGAGGATACCGTGCCTGGGCAATTCGGGTTTGATGTAACTGTCCATGGAAGCGAAATATTTCTTCGATGATACCTTTCACAGCACGTGAAAGGGGGCAATAGGATTACGAGGTAACCTACAGGGCACCAGAGGTCGGACTTTAATCGCTATCAAGTGGAAAATAAATTTTTCCCGCTCCAAATATTCGGACAGATGAATAATTTTCACTTGATCGCTTTCCCTCCAGCGAGAGTAGTTCATTTGTGTTACACTAAGTTTCTCAGTAACACGGGCCGGGAGCAAAGTAGGGAAACAGGAACTGACCGGTTACTTCATGATTGCACGCTGTTTGCACGTGTTCAAGTGATGAACACGTTTTACTAAACGAAGCCACAGAAGTTGTCTCTAAGCCAGGCAATGTCAAACACTGAAAAGTGCATTCAGCCAATCGCCGTAACATTTCGTAGGTATCACGGTGAGCTGGGATACTGTCAAGGCACCCGCACCTAAACAGCAGGACGACTAGGGTCCTCAACCAAAATCTGGCTCGAAAGTCTAACCGTAAGGCAGTGGTGTTTGGCGGGAAAGGCAAATGCATTACCATTTCGACGGAACAAGTTCCACATGTTCCAACCCCCAACCTGGAGAACCAGGAGAATGTGCTCGTCAGACCCATAGTGATTGACCAACCTGGTATGAGGCTCTGTGAGTGTCGCGAGGACACCCCCAGTATAGCTCAATGGGTCGCTGAGGTGCGCAAACCGTCCCACCACGGTAAGGTTCAATCTCTTCGTGACGTAACATGTCGTGGCAACCATCAAAGGAAGGTCCATCAATATTATCACTATTTAGGGATTTTCAAAAAAGGCTAATAATAACCTGCCAATTCCTAGATGTAGCCAAGAGGACGTGCTGGGAAATGGTTCTGGAACGACTACTATAATTTCCTCTGGATGTTACAATACGTATATTCTGCAGACGAAATACGTACGGCGACGTTTTCACCATGATGAGCCGCAAAAGCGGGTATCCGGATCGATAGATCATTGGTTGTTTGTCTATAGGAGTTGATTCAATCGTGATTTCAAACTAACAACGAATGAAATGTGAATTGCTCTTGCTCCGTGGCCATGGGCTCGTAGTCGTAGGAGGATGGGACGAGATGGCTCTCAAAGGAGCGTACTAGACATCCATTCGAATGTTGCGTCACCGTCACCGGATCACAGACTTCTGAATGGCCTCACACTATTTCGCTGAACAGGTTCTCGACCAAAGGTTCTGAGGCTGGGCATTGCAAGCCAACGATCATCTGGACAGCGGGGAGGTGACATATCCTTTCACAAATGACAGTACAACCCAAATGAGACAACGCTCGCTCTCGCGAACTTCGAAGAGATTAGAAGTACCTATTGAACCACATTTTACTTTCGTCGTCACCGGGTAAGCTGTGCACATCCGGTTACCAATACTCGTGCCTTCCGACCTTCTTCCGCGTTGCTGAAACCCGCGATCTCCTTACGCTAGAATCGCACAATGCTCGGAGGCTGAGAAAGATTGGACAGCAGGGCCCAACATGGATACTTTCTATGTCTCACACCCATCCTCATGGCTCGTTTGAGTTTTTCGTCGACAACTAGTCAAGCACTGACTAGAGTAACGCTACTCCGACTGTTAAACTGTCACATCAGTAGATTACGCTGGTGCTGAAACAGCTCTAAGTAAACGTAATGAATTCGCCCTCCCGGATCGGAGGCCGATCAGTAGCAGGCTGTAGTGAGATCAGTAGGAACTCGTAAAGCGAGCTTATACGTGAAGAAATATTGTATGTTTATTGCTCTCGACTGCATACCTACTAAGTGTGTGCTTAACTTCACTGCCTCTTTCGAGAAGCGCCGATAACTACTATTTTGTGCTATCGGACGATATGAATACAGGAGTCAGAAGTTTGAGTTCAGAAAGATCCAAAGATGATGATATCAATGGATTAGCTGCAACTTGAAATAAGCTAGTGAATACGTCCCGACAGCCGGCTTTACACAGCCACTGTGGACACGCGAAATCAGGAGTGTCGAGACGGTGCTCGACGTCCACCCTAAACTGTTAAAAAATTGGCGAAGCTGCGTCCAAGACTGCCATCCCTGATGGAACACCTACTAGAAATAGGCGAAGCTGACGATGCATCTCTGTGGAAAGAGAAATAACCGGTCGAAGTACTCTAAGGTGATCTGGCTGAAAAAAGCTTGGGACTATTCGAGAGAAGTTAGGAAGGAAGCCAGATAACACAACCCAAAGCGACACATAACACTAGACATTTGTGCATTACGCTCTGGGATGCCTGTGAACTAAAGTTTATGCCTACACCAGTAGATAGCATCTAGCTCCAAATGGCTAGATGAGCTGTCATCCAGTTAAATGGTCCCCAAATTACGGAGTCAGTCCGGTTAAGTCAGTAAGCCAAAACAATGTCGTTGCATTTCCCAACGTAAGCGATACCAAGTTTCCATTCTGTTCAAACCGCTTCTATACGTCCAGTATAATAACCCGGTCACTCCAAATGGTCATGCTCCTATTACGGCAAAATATGTTACTATGGAATCGAATTGTTTTTGATCTTATCTCCTTAGCTGGCACTTCGATATTCACCGGGAAAGTAAGCTAGACACAGGATGTATTTAGTGGGATTCGGAATAAATGAACATTCCAACTTAGTAATTGTTTCCCAATCGTTCGGGATAACCATTATTATCGCGGTTAGAAGCCAATAGATTTGGTGTGAGCTCATCTATCCAGCGGCCAAAGCATTGGGTGGGAAGATTCATTAATTAACATCGTCTTCACGGTTTCAGATATGATGAGGATACTATTCAGCGTTTGACTGTCTTAACCTCTCAGACCCCCTCAGGTGTGGGTCAATTGCACAAGTGTTTTTTGCTGCCGTACGTATTGGACTGACTGAGTGTGATCGCTAAAACGTTAAACGAGAAGATCCGTAGTACCCATTTATCCTTTACGCTACTTTTGGACAATTCGCTTGGAGTAACTAAACAATTTTCCACCGTGAGTGCAACAGGCTAGACAGAGTTACGAAGCTTCAGGATGCCGAGCAACAACGCTAGAGCCAAAATGTTGCTACAACTTCAGTAAGCACGGACAGCTCGTCTAGGATGAAACGACAGGTGTTAAGTAGGATTCAGTAGGCGGCTGGTCGATCAATTTGCCATTAATTTTGCTAAATGCTCAAGATACGCACTCGATGACTTAATGATATCCTCAGTTCGAATCCAAACCCAACATCCCGACAACTCCTGTCCAGGCTTGGGTATCCTGGCAGTAGTTGAGCCCTCATCCTTTCTTCAGGTGGTATGGCAGCTAGGCACTCAAAGGGCGCTACACCTGAACAGTTATTTACTATTATTTCCTTTGTTGTACTTGTTTCACTCTCCCCTTGTATTTATTGACTCAAATCACTGGCGCTTAGGGATATTCCTGTTAGTCTTGCTGACGCACGATCAGTTCACGCAAAAGATGAAGATCTCAGTTTCAAATCATACTTTTATTTGCACAGGTGAAAAGCAAGCGTGAAATATGTAGAGAATTAAGAATTTGTTCGTTAAACCACATGCTTAGATACACGCTTGTGAACCATTTTTTAAACCACAAATAGGTCGCGCCGAGCTTTGTGTAAGTCGATCTGAACAGGCCATAGTGTATGGAAAATTTGAGCAAACAAAAACAGAGGACTGGAAGAATCTGTGTTCCCCATAACAGCGACATGTTCAAATGATGAAACTTGACTGTCAGCTCGGAATAGTAAGACGTAATGCGACGTAATGGGCGGCCCAAATGACCCATGACAAGCACAGTTGGCTAGCAGCAATTTTATTTTGTCTCGGCAACAAGCATCACCGTCGGCTAAGGACTACACAGCGTTTGTATTCGTTGTCATACTCAAGTAAATGAATGAACCCCATAATGTATACTTTGCGGTGGCATTACTGGCACATAACACCAATACGAATCACTATGGTTAGCCTTCTTCGGCATTGGTCTCTGTATGACGGTTACTGCTAAGTTCTTTGAGCCGAGCTGTCTGTGCACATCCACAGGAAAAAAGACGAGTGTCAATCCATTCGTGACATCAAGCAACTTAATTACTTCACAGTAATTTTTTTCACTTTGGGAGGAACTAGCCGATTGTCATTGCAAAATAAGGTTATCAGCATTATGCATATGTCTGTCTTCACGTAAATGAAATTGACCGAACCCTCTAGTAACTCCTTAGAATGTGAAAATCGGAGTCAAGGATGAGTGACGGGTAGCCTATTGTTCGTTAAGTAAGTCGTGCTATTCAGCCAATTTGTACACAATCAGGTGGGAGTGCCATGTTGCAAATTTATTTTCAATATTTTCAGTCTTAATTTAACAGGTGCCCAATGTCGAGTATCACGTGGGACGAATACAGTAATACTCCTCGACCTAAATATCGCCCCCATACCATCCCCGTTTTTTGCGTGCAAAGTGCACGAACACATTGACGTCAAAACCACCGAACCCAGCTTACTAATTAGACCAGAAAACGAAACCACGTGCACGGTTACATTCTGGTTCCTGATTACGCACAGATATCGTCCGTTATTCAGGGCTGGTCTGCTACCTATACGTAGTTTCACAAACCAAGAGGAAAATACGAAAAAAAACTGAACGAAGTTCACCGCGGTGGAGAAGGGTTCCATGGGAGAAATGGTACACAAATGTTTGCTACACACCGGAAATAAGTCCGAATTCACTGAGCAAAAGCTATACTGACAAAATTATGCTGGTCTTTAGTTTGCATTGCACTTATCACACGCACATTCAGCCAACCTACTTGACACTGACTGGTACCGGATCAACAGAAGCTGGCTGATTTCGTTTCGTAACAAAAAGGCCAAGAAAGTACACGAGGCTAACATATCTAGCCTAACTTTTGTGATTACAACTGTTGACATACAGTTAGATCACACGTAAGTTTTCACCCATCACTCGTTACAGACCCGTCACTGGCAACTACTGCCATGTACATTGTCTTTGTTAGACTCTAATCGTTGTTCGTACGATACCAATGTCGTTTTAAGTCTCCGATCACTTTATCAGTCTGCCACTTCGATCGATGTCATAATTTAGCAAATAGCAATACCAGCAGCTGCGCACAATCTCCGCTGCTCTATCGCATTGGAGCTGTGTTTGATGGCGAAACACACCTGCCATACCAACCGAGCTAGCGATCAAAATTACGCAGCCTGATGACAGAGTGGAGGTGGGGAGAGTGTTCGTTAGAGTTAGAAAGCGACGAGTCAATTTTGCTCAGTTGGTTAGAGTAGACTGACACCATCCAGATCGATCTTTTAGTGTGTATTTATGATTACGTACTACTCGTGCGATCGATTGCTAGCATTGGTTGCACCGTCTTCAGATAAACCAACATCTAGTGCATTTTGGTAGTCTAGTATAAAAAGCTGAAATTAAAAATTTGGGTTTCGGAACCCCTGAAAGTGGGTTTGAAAACAAGGAAGTGAGTCAGTTGATTTGAAGAGGATAGCTACGACAGAAGAACCAAACATATCTGGATCCTAAAAATTGATTCGGATTTCGAAGGAGAAATATTTCTGTCTCTACCTCGTTTTTTCTAGCACGCTCATTATCCGACCTGTCAATTCAGTTGAGGTACTTACACCACTCTCAGAGGTTTATCAGTCAACTATTGAGAAACTTTCTGGTCTTCAGAATTCGGATGCCTCGTCAAATTTACTTACTCCATTCAGGACAAGCGCGATGCGACAGATCTCAACATTAAAATCGATCACGCGTTCGACATGTGACCAAAGCATGACCAACAAGCGACCAGCGTTTGTTTCGCAAATCAAGTGCCTCCAGGGATAAGCTACGCTCATAATTAAGACATCGAATAGAACAGACGAAAACGTCACTAATATTTCCATCGAAAAGCCAAAAACAATCTGCTGAAAGTAGCACTAGCCACGGATTAGCAAGATTATGTATTCGACCCAATCATATAAATTTTTGGCAGTACTCGCCATTTCAAACCTTAGCTGGGAGAGGCACTGAGTAAACGAACGTAAACGTACAAACTCCAGCCGTTTGGTAGCGTTTACTCAGCCATCGACAAAGGACAAAATAATGTGTGCGATGCTGAGTTTTCTAAATCACACTAATTTGGAGTGTGGCAAGGATGCACCTGTCGCACAATTCTCGAACCATTTTGTGAGAAGTAGACAAAGTTTCCCGTATTTGCTGCACGAACGTGTTGAAATAGTCCCTCTTTATTGTGAAGAACGTTTTCGGACTATGTCCTCTTCGCCGCTGGGAACTATTGAAAAACATATTGACGATTCCTATGTATATAGATGGACGAATGGAGGACTTGGTGAAGAACATGATGGTACCTAAGGCACAACACAAAGCTGACAGATTTTTCACTGTTGGAAGAAATAATGGTTAGGTGCCAAACTGCCATGCCATACGAAGGAAGCATGAGGGCTGGGATACTGTCAAATTGCCCAATCCTAGACAGGAGCAGTTGAGATGCAGGGGTCGGGTCCGAAATATGGACATTCCGGTCAGTAAATTCGCGCGTTAACCACTATGTCATCTCGAGTCATGAAACCTGTCAAACTAACTTCCATGGATTATTGATCTAGCACCGACGTCACACTGCATTATAATGCATTTGTCAAACTGGTTGACCGAACCGGACAAGTGAGTTTACCTCCTGAGTTGTTCGTTTGGTTGATTGACTGCAATCTTGACACTAGAAAGATTTAGGGAAAAAATCTTCGAAAGCGCGCCCCGTCGCTTATAAACCGAGGATTTTGTTACCGGGAGCTTGTTAATGTCTACTGAAGTTTAGCTGCTGATTACGATGCGCCGACACGCATCTAGATTTGATAGCCCACTAAGGTGGAGAAACAATAAACCTGTTGGTATCCTCTAGTGTTACACGTTTGGCCTAGTAGAATATTCTCACGCATTTTTACTTGAAAAAGAAACGACACAAGAAAACTCAGAGGAACAGATTTGTTTTGGTTTGTGGTTCGCTAGCAGTGCTTCTGGGCCATTTTGACGGAGTTTACGAGAGTGGATTTATTAGGGTCTAAACAGGGCAGCTCAAGACGCGAACTGGTTTACTGACCGGAAAAGAGGATCTACAGTAAAGGTGAGTGCTCAAAAGAAGAAGGGACATGTTGTGAGCATTTAGAACCAGCAAATACGCCTGCTGAGTAGTCCTTTTATTATGTACGCAGTCATTTGATTAAGTCCTCTGAGTAATTTGTTATGGAATATTAAGAAATTTCGCGAATGTTACTGGTAAAATCCCCTTGAAATTTTTAGAAAGAGCAAACTAATAAGATGTTACTTAAAGAGACCAACTTAAAAGCTGTGTCCGGTTAAGTAGCCCTTCTCCAATCCAAGAGGATGACAGTTTAACTTGAATTTGGGTGTACACGACGTGCCAACTTGACTTGATGATCGAGCTAGAGTACTTTAATGATCGCCTGGATTACACTGGCCGAAGTTCGTTGCACAAGGTGTAACCATGCCAGGAAGGCCAAAGGGATGGGCAGTGAGGTTAACAGCGGCGAGCATGCGTATCACAATAAAGCATCAGTGTAACCATGGAAGGCCAAAGGGATGGGCAGTGAGGTTAACAGCGGCGAGCATGCGTATCACAATAAAGCATCATATGAGTCGCTCTGGAGGTAAGGTTGTACTGCTCTCACCGACAAAAGTCGCAAGTAAGCAAGGTATTCCTTCCAGTCGATGAGTATGTTCATACATACGAAAGCGTAGCGCAGTAGCGTCTACCTCCCCTGAGAAAGGAATGGCTATGGAAGACAGGCGCTGAGAACGACATACTCCAGTTGTCCAACAGCTGACAATGACCACCGCTGAATTATCCAATACGGTCAAAGTACACCTAAGACTTACCAACTGCCCAATGGGCCTCCATACACCCGCTGTGGGTTTTTGGTTAGGTCACACACACTTGGTCGTATTGAAATAGAATGGATACTATAGTGTTCCCCATATCTAGTAAAGGAGTAGGGACTGATTTGCCTGCTTAATCGGAAGAGAGACGTTTTGTTCCTCAAAAATACGGCCGCACTTCTGACGCGCTTGAATCTGCTGCTTTTTATAAGTCATACTAGGCAGGCATCAATCTGGATGATTCCAAAGTTCCGTTTAAGAACTGGCTATCAGGTTATTGGTTACCCGCATAAGAACAGATGAACTAAACACCGGATTTTGAGCCCGAGATAGATCAGTGGTAAAGGCACCAGCCAATAGACCAGAAGGACCGTGGTTCGGATCCAACTTCAGCTCCTGTCTAGTCTTGGACAGTCTGCCAGTATCCCAGCCCTCGTGCTTTCTACCGTTGGCATGGCAGCTAGGCAGCGCACGATTTTTAAAATATTTTCCCCACGTTTTCGGATAATCGTCAAAGAATTCAATAACTAGTTAGGCTAGCCTTAAAATTTGGAGCAATAGGGTTACACTGAGTGGTGGTATCAAAAACATAACTATGTTTCGTCACAAATTTCTACTCAGAAAGAGAAGTACAAATGTCGCGGCTTACTTCGGCACCACTGCTCATTGTCTGAACGATTGCTGGCGACGAATCGATGGAAGAGGGTTGGCTGAAATGATACGCAAATTCAGTTTGAGTACGAGCTGAAAACAAAGAGAATAAAAAGAGAGAAAAAACAGTCAGACAAACCCCACGTGCCCTGGAAAAGCTGTTCTATTCTACGAAGACTGCTTCGTGTTAAGGATGTTTTCATTACTGCTATTGGAGATGACTTCATCCCAGGACAGAACTGGGCACAAATGTTCACGGAATGTTGCTTCTAGCGAATCGTGCTGGGCAGTTTTCACTCTGTCGACAGCAACATAAAGGAAACAGAACAGTGCATAGAGCTTGTTCCTGTCACTCAGTAGACTGTCGCAATGCTTGTGTAAACCATTGTGTCCCACATCTTGGATGAGCAAAAACAGGTTCGAAATGTCACGATAACGTGAATGACAAGAAAACGCGAAATATATCTGTGCTGCATGTGGTGAAAAATGACCAATCTGCATTAGATCCAACCGACAGACGTCCCTCGATTGATCCTGTGTAGACCTTCGAAATACTTCAATTCGTCTGCACCAGAGGGCATAACCCAGATCACAGTCCCGGTGCTGATGGTTCAGTGACTAGTGTCAATGACATAACTGTCGAGGAGTACAACACCATGATAATATTATTGTTGATATGAACATTTGTGTCCCACCACAGTGTCCGGACAACCGTCAATTTGATGGTACGGCGAAGATCATATGTTTGCACCGCGTTAGTAAACACTCGCGACTCCTAGGACTCGTCGTCATGCATACGAATACTAGCATCAGCAGGTACAATTAACATTTTATCACGCACGTGATTTTGTGGCAACGTAAGAATAACGGAGCGGTATCTTTAGCTTGTTCTCCCCCGAAAACGAAAACAGTATTATCTTACTGTACAGCAAATTCGCCCTTCAAAAAGATATGTCGGCTCCAATAGCGTTTCGAAATATCGCTGCTCTGTGCCATTCGTCTGCTCACCTTCATAAGGACTCGCACCGGCCGAAATACTAACCCGTTTGTTTATAGTTTCTCTCAATGTATCAGTAAACTTTAGCACTGATACCATGGAAGACCCTTATCGAGAAATTATCGCCCTCTTACTAACCACGAAGAGTTCATATACTGTCCTAACGGCAGAAATTTCAGCGTGCAGATAGGGGACCGCAGTTCAAGAACAGCTTGCTGACTTGGTAAGTGAAAGGCTGCGGTGAGAACAGATAGGAGTCTGACAAGTGGGTGCGAAGCAACGGATTTACATGGTGGTGTGTAGCTGGTCATTTTCTTGGGCGTCTGGCCGACATATCTACATTGCGGGATAATAGAAAAGTGAGTATCATGCCAAGCATGATAGGAGTGGAACAAAACTGAAGATGGAAAACGTCAGCAGTTGTGCGCTTTAGCTTATGCAATCTGACGCACGTGGCCAATGTCCTCACGCGAACGACGATCGTTGTGTGCGTGGAGTGAGTTTTTGCCAGATCATCCAAACCTGGCAGAAGAATAACTGCGGCTCTCAGCCAAAGTTCTGGGCTTAAAAGCCTGACCGCAAGGGCACCACAGTAGTTGAACTGTTAAGGAATAAGACTGCCAGACATTCTACCACCTGACCTAGGGAGCCGAGAGACCGCGTTTTTCTCGAACCTCCATTCAGTGGCCATCATCTACAGCAATACAACCACTATATGTGATGATAGATTGGTCAACCTAGTAGGAGGTGATCTGTAGACACTACGTGGGCATCCACCATTAGTCGATTGATAACCCGATTTCTAGTCGCACCACGATAAGGTTGTCTCGTAGTGACTAATATTTCTAAGCTCGGTGGTGAAGCAGGAAAAGGTTTCTGGCGTTGAATGGTCCAGAATAGGACGGAAAAGCCATGATAATAAATAATAATTGTTCAGCTGTATTATCCTTTCGGTGCCTAGCTGACATCCCACCCGAAGGAAGCACGAAGGCTGATATACTGCCAGGCTGCCCAAGCCTAGACTGGCGAAAAGCCACGAATGAAGGGTAGATCGTCTTGGCAACCCACTTCTTAAAGCCTATTTATAATGTTTGCATAATTATACATAGCGCAGGATTCCACGCCCTTTATTTCAATTAGTTCGGAGTATCAATCTCAAATCACGCACAACCTTCCTTCGGAATGCCTCCCAACATGAAGGATAACTTCAAAGATTGTTGTTACCAAGCGAAGAGAGCTCGATATTTTAAGTCAGATGGTCACAACTTTCAGTTTGTGTCGAATTACCGTTTACGTTCCCCTACAGGCAATCAATGCCATCTGACGAACACGCTGTTCTTCAGAGTAAACATTACCATAGGACACATCACGGAAGTTCGCTATGGGATACAGGATTAATAAGAGGCCTGGCCCAGATAAGTCATAGGGTATAAGTTTCGCTCACCCAACCCGGATTCGACTACTCAGGACATTTCCAATCTAGCAAAGTCACACGCGTTGTGTGTAAATTGACATAAGAGATGCATGGTTGGCCCTATCGGTCAGGAGTCGTCTACTGTGCGGTTGGAGTGGCAGGACAACTGTGGTGAATGGTTTAAAAACCTCCACTTGAACTCCGGCCACCGTTGCCATTAAATAGAACGAGGAATAGGTACCAGGACTTGTTCAGCCCCCATAGTTTCGAAGTGGCTTCGAACCTCATTTCTGGCTAGAAGTAGTGAGTTGTGAGGTTTGGTTAGACAGATATGTTTGGTGGCCAAGTCTCTATATCCTAGAGGTAAGTTCCACTTTAATGTGATGAGTTCCCGGAGTCAGGAGCGGATAATCCACCAAACGAGCTCTTCTGATGGCATGATTTATCCGATAAATGGGTGGTTTTGCTCTCTTATTGTAGCTGAAGCAACAAAATGCGGTTGTGTGAAGCGCCAGTATCACTAATCATTGCTGAGGAAACCAACATTAGCATTCACACAGCTGC